CCTGTTTTCTTGGTGTAATATGAGACAAGAATCATCCACCAAAAGAAAGATGAGATTTAAGATGGGAAATTTGAAAGATGAGGAAGGTACTCAACATTTACTAAATAAATGGATTTTATCAGAAAGCATACTATTATGGCTGTGAATTTGTTGTTGTTTAATGCGGTCGAGTCGTAGACGACTCATAGCGACCCTATGAACAAACAGCCTGAGCACTGTTCGTACATAGAGTTTCCGGAGGCAAGCCATTTCGGAAGTGGACGCCGCTCCTGCTTCCAGGCTTGATTTAGTCGGGAAGCTCCAGCCAACACTGTCCACCATGGGTGCCCATTACCACGATTGGCACATCACTGTCACAGTCTTCAGCATCACAGCAACCACGAGTTACCTCTGTACAGCAATGCACAGTCCAGTGCTATACCACCTAGAAGAATGTTTGACAGGAAGACAATTTGAACTTTAATAGAAGACAATTTGAGCCATAATATTATGGCTGTGAATTTGTAGTATTACCAAATCCCTCTTGCTTGATTCTATCCAGTAAATATTGACTACTTATTAATATCTCTTTCAATGTCATTGCCACTGAGTCAAAACTGACTTTGTAGTTGACCTCCCAGTGAATTTTCTGAGAGTATGAATAGCAAGGGAAGAGATTGTTGCCATTTTTCTCATGGACTGACTAGTGGACTCATCCAGCAGAGAGGTGCAAGTTTTGGGTTAGCAACCCAACTCCCCTGTGAAATATCACCAGACCAGCAACTCAGGTTGTTGATAAACAGTGCAGTAAAAGAAGGCAGAAAATCCAGTTTAGCATGCCTGTTTTAGGGGAAGCCTGTCTCTGTTGATTCCAGAGGAAGACCCTTATCTTAGACTAGCTTCTGCTCCCAGGCAGTCATCACGGAGCTTAGCATCTCTCTTCTTCCATGTCTGATTTTTCCCCCCCTTATCTCAAATGAGGCAGACTCAAAACACATCCTACACTCATGAAGATAGAAAAGGTTGTTGTTGTTGTTGTTGTTGTGTGCAATCGAGTCTGGATCTGACCCATAGGTGACCCTCCCTCGCATTTAATTGCAGAGGAGGAGAATGCCTGTCCTCCCTTTGAGCAGCTGGCAGCTGATGGATTTGAACAAAGATTACCCTTTCCTAAATGGGTATTGAGTTTAGAATTTACAACACATTTTATGAGAATACAATTCAGTCTCTTCATTGGCTTTTCCAAATTCAAGGTTTTCCCACAAGCAAAACATACTCATCATATACCACATCATCTCAGAAGTCCAGTCAGAACTCTCCAAGATCAGTCTAAAATCTCATTATCAAAAGCATCTGACATGAAATCGGAGTGTCTTTCATTTAGAAATTAAAACTTTCTCTTCGTTTTTGAGCCTGTGGAATATTGTTGTTGTTATGTGCCATCAAGTCGCTTGCAAGCAGACGCAAGTGATTGGAATGTGGAATGTCAGGAGCATGAGTGGAGAGGAGACAGAAACTGTCAACAGCTTCATCATGCTTGGATCTACAATTATCACCCTTGGTATGAGCAGTCAGGAAATAAGGAGACACATTGCACTGGGAAAGTTTGCAGTTAGGGACATTTCCAAATTATTGAGGAGTGGTGATGTCAGTTTGAAGACTAATGTGTCTCTGATTTAGGCCATAGTCTTTCCAATTGCTAGCTATGCATCTGAGAGCTAGACAGTGAATAAGGATGACAGAAAAAGAACTGACACCTTTGAACTGTGGTGTTGGAGAAGAGCACTGAACATCACATGGACACCTAAGAGAATGAACAGATATGTCTTGGAGAGGATGCAGCCAGAGTGCTCTTTGGAGGTTTCACCTCACATATTTTGGACATATTGCTAGAAGATTCTGTTCCTTGGAGAAGGACATGATATTGGGAAGGGTGGAGAGTTGGTGAAGGAGAGGAAGGCCCTCAGCCAGGTGACTATATACGGTGACTGCTGCAATGGGCTCTTGTGTGTCGAGAAGTGTGAGGGTGGTGCAGGATAGAGCCGAGTTCAGATCTGTTGTTCATAGTATTACTATGAGTAGTGCTCACCTCAACAGCACCTAACAACAACAACAGCAACAAGAAAGAAATGGAATGCATAAATATTGACATACGAGGTATTGGCAAAATGAGATGGAGTGACATGAGACATTTTCAGTCAGATGGTCATATCAAAGATGAAAAAGTGAGGAGAAATGAAATTTCACAGTTTAAAAAGTTATTTTTAGATCCATCTTGAAATACAATGTAGTGAGTGACAAGATTATAACCACACACATACAAGGACGTCCAGTGAATATAACTATCATTTAAATATAGATCAAAAACTAGAGCCAAAGAAGATAAAATAGGAGATTTTGACCAACTTTTGCAGTCAGAAATCGATCTAACATGCAATCAAGATGCATTAATCATAATGGGTGACTGGATTTCAAAAGTTGGGAACAGAGAAGAAGGACCAGTAGTTGTGGAATATAGACAAGGAAAAGGCTCAGTAGTTGTGGAATATAGACACAAATTATTTCCAAAGTGCAGTGATGGAACTAATAAAATGTAGGCTTTTTCATTACAAATGGGAAGAAATGGAGGAAAAGAAGGGATACCAGGCACTAAGCAAGTCCCCAAACCAGTAGAACAATTTACATTAGCTCTTAAGGCATGAAAATAATCCTCTGTTCTCTGAAATCATATGGGAAATGGTCACAATTTCTAAGGCACTCTAGTGGTGTAGCAGTAAAGAGTTGCACTGCCAACCCAAAGGCACATGGTTCAAATCCACCAGCTGCTCTGCAGCAGAAAAATGGATGATCATGTCTTTTCCAATTTATTGCATCTGAAAACCCACCGTAGGGTTGCCTATGAGTCAGATCCAACTCCACAGTATGTAACAATAACTCCATATTCTGGGTGTTCGCACCCCCACCTTTTGGTACCAAAAATTCTGTCTTCTTTAGTTACTTAGTGCTACTATACTAGAAATACCACAAATGAATGGTTTTAACCAACTAAAATTTATTTTCTCGCACTTTAGCAGGCTGGAAGTCCAACTTCAGAGTGCTGATTCTAGGGGAAGGTTTTTTCCTTTTCCTCTGTCAGTTCAGAAGAAAGATCTTTGTCTTTGAGTTTCTGCAGCTTCCTATGGCTTAAAACCTTCCCCCCCTCATTTCTTCCTACTTTCTTGCTTTAATTTCTTTCATATTTCAAAAGAGATGGGCTCAAGGCACATTATACATTAATCCTCTTTATTAACAAAATAAAGTCAACTCAATTCCCAGATAGGATTATAACCACCAAAATGTTGTTGTTGCATGCCATCAAGTCAGCACCGACCCGCCTGACGCTCTAGTGGGTTTTCAGAGGCAGTTAATCATACAGGTGGAGATTGCCCATCCTCCCACAGAGCAGCTGATGGATTCGAACCTTGTGTCTTTGGAATTTCTGCACAGCTTCTTATCACTAGGCTACGACCAGAAGTTAAAATTTGTAGTATGTGTTGAGAGGGTAAGGGAGGCACAGATAACAGTTCAATTCATAACAGTATTATAAATTTTTAAGATCGTAATTAAGTTCTTTTTTTCCATCTTGTCAATAAAATTTTATATTGATGAGTTTCATAATGTTATTTAGGAATGTAACTTACTCAAAAAATACTATCATACAGACAACTGTTTTCAAATTAGATCATAAGTTAGAGCCTATGATCATTCAACTGGTGAGATGTGTATTATTTCTCAGTGTCATTTATATGTGAGGCTTTAAGTATTTATATTATTTTTATTTGCACCAGAAATAGAGCAATGCTCAGGGAGAAGAAGTGCAAGAAAATCATAAAGAATCTAATTCTCAAATAAGATATTTTGGCTTTTAATGGGTTAACTTTTCTTAAGGTAAAATTTGTGGACATAAAATGAAATTTTATACTTTTTAGCCTGATGAATTAAAAAAGCCAATTGACCTCTTCAAAATAAATGAATAAGCAGTTTATTATCACTAGGAAAGTTTTGGTTACTATTTTATATAGCAAGTAGGTAATAAAAAAGAGAGTTCAGAGAGTATGGGAAATTTCCAGTGTTTATGAACTTTAAGAGAAGTAACTTTAAAATCTTTTTCTGCTTCTCTTTTTTCAGTGTTAGGACCAAATATATGCTTTTTGTAATTAAGCTCATGATAAACAAACCTGTTTTCCAGGTGGACATTCTGGTGTGTAACAAATTAATTTACCAACTCCTGGATTTAAAATTTAGATTTTTTTTTACTGATTTTTAAATACATCAGGGACTAGAGAATTAGTACTTTATTCCCCCTGACAAGTATGGATGCATTATGTTCTCGAGGGAAAGCTACTCTTTTAGTTTATGATAGTCTACTATGGATGGAAATAGTTTCTTGCCCTACATTTTAAACAAATACAAGCAAATTATTTGGAAACGTATATAATCATACTTAAATTAAAAACATAAAAAACAACACAACCTTTGGTGCTTAAATATTCCTAATACCACCATCTTTTTACCTCATCCAGAACTTAATCCATCCCTTATTTTTTCTCCAAGCATGTTTTGAATAAAAGACCACATGTACCAGTTTTATACTGAATTTTAGTACATTGCTTGCTTGTTCAGAAATTAATGGAATGCATTATATATTCTGTTACTGAAAACCATTTCATCTATGATTAATTATCCTATAGAACTGGATAGTATCAGCAATATTTATTTATTTTTAAAATTAAATAACTTTTATGAACTCATTATTGTTCAAAAAAGTAATTTCAGTATCAGTCATTTTATTAGATAAGAGATTAAACTTTGAAAGTTACACAAACATAGTATCTTTTTCCATCAGTGCTGCCGCCATTCCATTTCATGTCTGATCATTCATTTAAACAGTTATTACCACTTGCGCTGTCAATAGTGAGATTGACACTCCGGTTTATTTTCTAAAAAGTTGGTGCATACATGATAGATTCTTATCATTCCAGGAAGAAGCTCTACTTCTGATGTACTAGACATACACAAGTCTCCATTCTCTCATCAGACCTTTCTTAACAAAGGGCTTAGTAAATCTATGGGATTTCTGTCGATGAGAGATACACAAGATGAGGAAGATTATCTCAAGGACATTTCATCAGATAATAATTCTGGACATGAAGATTCTGAAAATACCTGCTCTTCTTACCAGTTTAAAACTAGTACCGAAAAAAAAGTTACCTCAAGCGTACTTCCCAAGAAGAAGAAGAGTTGGGCTTCCTCCATGGACTTGCTTTGCACGACCGACAGAGACTCCTCTTCTGGAGAAACTGGCAGATACCAGCGCTGCCTGTCTGAGGCAGTAACTGCACAGACTTCAACTACTCCTAGGAAAAAGGAATCAAGATACTCAGATGGAAGCATAGCTTTGGATATCTTCGGCCCTCAGAAAATGGACTCAATATACCACACGCGAGAATTGCCCACTTCCTCAGCAATATCAAGTGCTTTGGACAGAATCAGAGAGAGACAGAAGAAACTTCAGATTCTGAGAAAAGCCATGAATGTAGAAGGTTAGTAACTTTATGTGTGTCTGACAGAGCGGTCACAACTTTAAAAACCGTATGAAGCAGTTGTACTCTGCACATTTGTGGTCACTAAATGGATTAGACTTGACAGACAGCTAACATCTCAGAAATTAAACTATGGTGAATAAAATATAAAGGAGTTCTAAATTGTTATTTTCTCAACAGTAGGAGCTATGTTTCCTTTTTTGAATCCTCAGCACCATCTATCATGTGCTGTCTAGTGGGAGGCTTCAGTAAGTGGCTGATTGGCAGAAGAAAGAAACTGCTTGGTAGAATAGTGTGGTGCTGCAAGAGTGGGTCCCAAACCACTGACTTTAACACTTTGGGGTCATGACTCTTGGGGATTATAACTTGATTGGGAATGAATTTTTTAATCTATATTTTTAAGATGAATAATTTATGAACTTTGAAGTCCAAGTGTAGATTTTAATTCGTTACTTCATTTAATCACCTTCTAAGCTTTACTTTATTATTGATCACTCCAAGCCTCAGTTATTCCAGCTTTAAAATGGGTTTAAGACATGTAGATTAATTAGTTAATAAATGTGAGATGATTAACAATTTATTACATTATTAACATGAGAAATAGAAATTCTTATAAATAAGAAGTTATTATTTGAAGGCAAAGCAACTGTTTCAGAAATACCTGATTCACACAGAAAATTCATTAAATTGAATGGAATAAAATGATCTTTTAGAAATTTGGTTAGAAATTGACTTAGTTATAGATAGATAGATAGATGAATAAATAGTATCAGGAGGAAAATTTTTAGTAAATTATGCTTTTGAAAAGAATCATTTTACAACTGCCCTGTACATTCTAAACAAATCTGGGATGTAATTGATTAAATGGAACCTTAAGAGACTTTCCAAGGTCAAAAAGTCAAAAAGGTAATATTCAAAAGGACATTCAAGGTCAAATTAGTCTTTAAGGTGATAGTTTTTAAAGTCCTGTTATGAAGGTTTTTTCCATTAAGTTTCATATAGTCAGGCACTACAACATACCTGTTATGCTTGATTTCTAGTAAAAGAAACTTTGACCTTTTTTCTTTTTTAGTTCAGGAATTGTAATTCATTAATACTATGAAACTGTAGAGAAAAATTGAGTATTTATAACTACTTTTATGAGTTTCTTTATAACATGTCTTTTTAACAACTTTTAAAGAAATTACTCTCTAATATAATTCTGGAGCTCTGGTGGCATAGAGGCAAGAAGCTGGGCTGCATCCTGAAGGCACACAGTTCGAGGCCATCAGCTGCTCCATGGGAGAAGGATGGGCCATTTTCTCTCTTGTGATTAACTTCCTCTGAAAACCCTCCAGAGGGTTTGTACCACCACCAACAAAATAGTTCTATATATCTTTGGTCTATAAACGCTCAAAGACACAGTATGTAAGTTTAGGAACCTGTTGTATGCAAAATTTCACTTTTAAACTATAGTAAGGGCTTGGAGATGTGATAGCAGAGAGTCTTTTCTGTACTGTAAAAAAAGAGAGAGGGGAGAAGGAGAAAAAAAACCCTCAAAACCTTTACCTTTTTAGAAGTTACATTCATGTCTACATAGTATTGCACGTCAAGTACTTTGCATAACAGTAATGATTTAGTCTGGCCTTATTGTGAGCATAAGTTTGGCAACTTTCTACAAACCTTTAGTGTACAGAAATATTGATTATTGTGCAAAAACAAAGTAAAAACTCAATAATTCAAATAGGTAATTTTAATAGTCTTAAGAAGGTAAATAGTGAAGACACAGAGTAATCAAAAAGACTATTTTGAACTTCTAAAAGTTGGAGTAAGTCTTTTGACATGAAGATGAAAATAAGACTATACTTCCTGATGCTGTCATACGTGCTCTGGTTTGAAAATGACTTTAATAAATTCACAAGGATTTTGGGTTAGTGAAGTTGGGAGGTATTTGGGGGGTTTTGCATGGTTTTTTAAATTTGTTCTTTTTTAATCACTGTTGAGTCTCAGTTTGAGAGTTTAACAGGAAAAAAACCCAACCACTAAATGAACCATTGATGAAAATATATTTAATCTGTTATCATACAGAAAAAAATAGTCTAATTCCAGTTAAAGAATTTTTTTTATAATTTTTTATTTTTTATTTTTTTTTTATCGAGGTTTTGGATTTCCATTCATTCATTGCCACAATTTTCTCCCTTCCCACCCCTCCCCACCAGCTCGCTTCCCCCTCCGAAGAGAGAAAAAAAAAGAAAAAAAATTCCTTCATTAGTATACAATTCCCACGTCCCTTCCCCCCACCCCCACCCCAGTACCCTACTCTATGCAACCCAGTTAAAGAATTTTTATTATGCCCTATTATAAGGTGAATATTAAGCCAAATTATATGTTTTATTTTAATTATTTTTCCTTGATTGTCATATAATACCTTTAAAGTATGTGTCATTCATATACATTGTGTTTTATACAATCTTTAATTTACATTGCATTTCATACATTTATATACATTTTATTTTATATTGTTTTTATACTAGTTTATAAAATTTCAATACATTGTTTTTCACAACAGATCATTCCCATTTCCCTCAAACCCCCACCCATCAAATTGTGTGACCTTGTGATTTGGTTCCCTCCCCCTGTACATCCTCACCCCTCTGCTTCCACCCCTCTCCCCCTTGGGGAATGCACATTCTACAATAATGGTTTTATACAGGATTTGTCCTTATGGGATTGAGTTGTTCATTCCGCATAATGTTCTCCAGTCCCTCCCAAATTAGGTAGTAATTTACAAAATCATTGCTCCTGCATGCTGTGTAGTATTCCATTGTGTGAATGTACCATAATTTCGCAATCCATTTGTTTGTGGTTGGACATCTGGGCTGTTTCCATCCATGTTCTTTTGATGGTGAATAATGCTGCTATGAATACTGGTGTACAAGTCTCTATGTCTGCCTCAGTTCTCATTTTTGTGGGGTATATTCCAAGCAGTGGAATAACTGGGTCATATGGAATTTTTATGCCCAACTTTTTCAGGAAATGTCGAACTCCCTTCCAAAGTGATGGTACCATTGTACAATCCCACCAACAATGTATAAGATTTCCTTTCTTGCCACATCCTCACCAACATTTATTACTTGCTATCTTTTTAAACTTTGCCATTGCTACTGTAATGAAATGATTTATTTTTTTATATTTTATTATATCTTAAAGTGCAGTTGGTAGGTACAAATATACATGGCTCATGAAAATTAGAGATAAAATGCTATACACTCATTTACTGCCATCAAATCAGAACCAACTCATGGCTGACCTGCCAGCAGGCTTTCATAGGCTGTAAATCATATGAGACATTGCCCATCTGCTCGTCTCCCCTCTCCCTTTGAGGAACTGTTGAATTAGAACTTCCTGCCTTTGGGTACAACTCCTTGTCCACTACGTTATTAGAGTTACTATAGGATTTAAAAAGGAGCTACTACTTGGATTAAAAAAGGGAAAACATTATTACTGGGGTTAAAAACCATAAAGATCCAATCTTAAAATGCTTGATATTATTTAATGCCAGGATTTGAAAGACACCTGCCAAAATTAGGGAGTAAACAAACTGTGCACCATTCTCCTTTGTGTGAAAAATTTTAGTGCTTCTAAATTTATCGCTCCATTTTTCAAACCTCACTCAATTTTAAAGTAATTACAAGTTAAAGGGAGGGTTACACATGAGCATATCAGGAAAAGTTCAGAATTCACCCTTCTAATTCCTAAGTAGAAAGTTGGGATTTAACTACTGCCACCTTTATAACTGAAACAAACTTTTAATTTACTTTAACTCATCTACTTACCTCTTTAGATGACTCCTTGGCTGTGCTCTCAAGTGTACCACACTAAGGAAATCTATAGTCATTAAGCTCATGCTTTGGTCTTCAATAATGGAGCTTGATTTTCTCTCATTTAAGCAGATTTACACAATTTTGCAGACTAATTGAAGTAAATTGCCTAATTAAAAAGCCAATTATATTTTGTAATTGATTGGATATTTTATCAAAACCACTATTTCCCATAAGTCATTGCAAATTTGTACATATGTAGCCATGAGAATTATATACACAGGGTTTGTCTGTCATTTGTAACCATAAGTTCAGTTAGTAAAATTGATACAGTGAAAAAAGTTTGGGTTGACTACATATTTATTATTGCAATATTAACTTTTTCAACGGGTTACTGGTATACTAGTGTATAATAAACTATATTAATTAAGATGTCTGGTTATCACTACCTAGTATACTGTTGGCCTAGTGGTAAGAATGCGTGCTACAATCCCCAAGACACACAGTTCGAATTCACCAGCTGCTCCACAGAAGGATGGGCAGTCTCCTCCCGTATGATTAACTGCCTATGAAAACCTGCTGGAGGGACAGTTATAAATCAGTTCTGATGCAGTGGTACTCAACAACAACAACAGTATACAAATTATGAAAATTTTCAGAAGCAGTCAAAAAGGAGCTCTTCTGGCATAATGAGTTAAGTGTTAGGATAACTAAAAGGTTGAGGGTTTAAACTCATTAGTCCTCTATAAGAAAAAATATTACCACTCTGGTCCCATTAGGATTTATAGCATTAAAAATGTGATGGTGCAGTGCTACTCTGGCCTTTCAGGTAAACTTGATGACAGTGAATTTGGTTTGGTTTTGAGAAGCTGCAATAAAGTCACAAACTGGGTTCATTCACTCATCTCAATCAGTCTGCCCTTGCTGTTAAGTCAGAAGTGATTCCAGGGAGTTTCTAAAGCTGTAAATTGCATGGAAGAAGACTGCCAATCTTTCTGCCTTGGAGGTGCTGGTAGATTTGAACTAGCACGTGGAGTTAGCAGTGCACTTCCTATAGACTATGCTGGTAGAATGCCCTCATTCATTTAAAGGAAATTTTACTAGTCTCTCCAGTGGTACACATGTATTTTAAGAGACACATATGCAATTTAAGAATTTAAGGACTAATTTGTTTTCAAATAAACATGTGCATTTACAGAA